ATATATATATAGGAGTGCAGTGGCTCCATAGACTAGGCGCTGGGCTACAAACCACAAGGTAGGCAGTTCAAGCCCACCAGCTGCTCCATGAGAGAAAAATGAGACTTTCTGCTCCTGCAAAAGGTTTAAAGCCATGGCCACCCTTTACAGGGTTGCTATAAGTCAAAACTGACTCCACAGCACTTAAGAACAACAACAATGTATATAATATGTCTACTCAGGTTTTCACATGTACAGAATCTCTGGAGGACAGCGAGCTAAGGTACAACATGTAGCTGTCATGGTTCTGTACTTGTTCCACTCAGACCCAGGCTGTCCACACTACCTTCTAATTGTTCTGCTCAAAAAGAATGAACTGGTGAAACTGCAGTTGGTTTCTGTGATTTCAGCTTTTGTGTGTTGTTGTTGTTTTTTTCTGCTTCCCTCCAGAGTAAAAATCAGGTTCATCGTAGGGGTGAATACAATGTTTACAGCACATTCCAGAGCCATGAACCCGAGTTCGATTACCTGAAGAGCTTGGAAATAGAAGAAAAAATCAATAAAATAAGATGGCTCCCTCAGCAGAATGCAGCGTACTTTCTTCTGTCTACTAATGGTATGTGGATGTGACTTCCCTACTTAGTATTTTCAGAGAGATGGTCAGCCAAATGGTACATTCCACCTTCTCTGAGCTTCCATTTTCCTCTGTACATTATGGATTGTTCAAATATTAGCAATAATCTTTGTGAAATGTCTAGCACAGTGCCTGGCACAGGTGAGCCCCTCAGTGAATAGTTGCTATTATTTTTTAAAACAACAAATGTATGACCCAGTTATGTGAGACATGGTCTACAGTTTTCAGCCAGCATAGATCATTTCCAGGTATTTGGGGTATGTGACTTCCTATCTTCAGATCCCCCTGAATGTTATTCTGGGAATGCATTTCAGGAAACTCTCCAAGCTGTCCTTGTGAGCTTGGCATGCTCAGTAGAAGGTATTAATCACAAAATCCATTTTAGCGTCTGTAAAGCAGATGCCAGGTCTCTCTGACACAACCAAGTGCTGAGCTCAAAGCACAGGTTAAGAAGAGCTAAAAGGGGCTCTAACTGTGCTGAGCAAGGCAAGGAATGCTTTGTTTTTCATCTCCTGCCATACTCTTTCTATCCTTTGTTGGTTTATTGGGAATTGATCTAAAGAGATTAGGGAAAGGGGATGTTAGAGAGTAAAATTACACAATAATTCAGTAAATTTTTATACAATAGAACAACCTACCTCTCCTTCTTACAACCTACATGAAAGATGGCTACACTCAAGACTATTCAGAATAAAGTCAAATAAGAGACTTGGTGTGAAAAACTTAAGCATTTTCTCCCAAGCAAATATAAGGGGGTATCAGAAAGTTTATGGAAAAATTAAAAGAGAATGGAGTTTTCCCAGGAACTTTTGAAAGACCCCTCATATGCTGGTAAGTGAGTCTCTTCACCCTGTGTATGCGCCTATAAGGAATATGCTTTTAAATATCAATTATGAAGTGAGAGGTTTGCTTTTTTCTAAATCTCAATATTGAACAAAAAAAGGAACTGCATTCGTATGTCAAGTTAAAAAAAGAAGCAATTATGTATATAATATGATCAAATATATATGTATGTATTTTACAGGTTGGAAGGAAATGCACAGAGAGTTCATTATGGTTAGTTTTAGATTGTGTCTTATCAGGATTTATATATTTTTTTAATTACTCTTAATTTTTAAGTTTTTACAATGAGATTTATGCTAATCTTATAAAAGGGGGGGGGATCAAAAAGTTTTTAACACATATAAACCAAAAATCCATCAAATATAATGCCATTATACAAATCTAAAAACAGGTCATTCTATAGCAGCCAGTATTGGGTTCCTCAAGAATCTCACATTAACAAAAACTAATCTGTTTTTCCAGATTCCAACTAACTTCCTTCTTTCTCATAACTGTACTTACCTTTTGGGACCTGATTTTTTAGAAGCCAAACCACAATGAATTCAGTTTTTTCACTTTTGCTGATTATGCTCCACTCAAAGGCTCCTCAGCTCTGTGCTTCTTAAAATGACAGAGAGGTCTGATGATTTTTTACTTAATTATTTCAGGCAAAGAAAAAGTGTCTGATTATCTTCTATTGCTAGCTTATGTTATATTATGAAATTTATCCTATTGATTATTGCAGGAAAGTGCAAAGACTTATTAAGTACTTTGTGGGGTGATGGGAAGGAAACCAGTGAAATGCAATGAAGATTAATTATATAGCATAATGTTCTGTTAATTGAGTTTTTAAATAGTTTTTTGATTAACAAGGATATTATCTTCTCATTTGGGATGATAGTTCATTTGCCAACAGTATCTCAAAATGATTGTTATTAAAAAAAAAAAAATCCCATGTTCTCATGTGATTTTCTTTTTTATACTAATATTGAGGTTGAGAATCTCCCTTAAGCCAAATAGGTTAACATGCAAAAATTAATGGAAGACAATTGGAATTACTGTACAAAAAAAAGAAAATGAAGATAGATGATAAGATTGTGTTAAAAGCTGCCACAAGTGATGATAAACTATTCAGAGAACCAGCCAGAAGAAAGCAAAAGTCATTACTCATAGTAACAGTCACATGTTCCATAGACTTCTCAACCACAAAGCTTCCAAATATTGAGTCAAGAAAAATTGTGTGATAATAAAGTCTAGAATCACTTCAGGCAACTCAACCATGGGGAACTGGATAGAATTTGCCATCAATTATCTCTCTATATATATTTTTAATTGTGCTTATTTCATTAAAGCTATGTAGGTTTTACTTTCTGTGAGTATCATTTGCATAATTAAAAAATAAACTAATATAGGCCTTCAACTTATTAGCAATGTGCTTTTCTTTCATATATCAGTAAGTTCAAAGCCTAGATTGATTAAGTTGCTTTGATTTTTCATTAAGAACTATATAAAATTGGAAATGTATTCTAATATAGAAGAGTCTAGCCTAAACCCACTGTTGTTGAGTTGATTCTAGTTGATTCTTAGCCATCCTATAGGACAAAATAGAACTTCTCATAGGATTTCTGAAACTGTAAATGTTTACAGGAACAGATAACTTCATCTTTCTCTTTTGGATTGACTGGTGGGTTTGAACTGCTGGCCTTGCTTAACACACTGAGCCACCAGGGCTTCTTAAGTATAAGGTATATAGAATTTATTTTCTTGCTACGAAAGTAGTATATGTTTTTTATAGAAATTTTAGAGTACTGAGAAACAAAATGAAGGTGATAAAAATGTCCCCATCCAAAGAGAACCACTATTAATGTCTTTTAAAGAAAAAAAAAGCCAACAGGCATGGATACATTTGTAATTCATCAAGAACATGGAGTACTCCACAAACTTAGTTAACTGAGTTTTTCAAATTTAGTAACATAATACCTAGTACAGGAACATCTTTCTAATTGTTAAGTATTTTTCCAAAGTACAGTAACATTTTTAGTAACTACCTAATATTTCCTGTTGTGATTTTTCTATTGTTTACTAGTAAGTCTCCCTGTATCAAACCTTTAATTTTTAACATATTCTCACTAATTAAAAGATTATATTTATAGGAATGGATGTTGTAATATTTATATATGTGAGAACCTCAAAAAGATTGTGAAAAAAATGAACTTTTAAACAAACTTTTTGAAGCCCCCTCATATCTGATTGATAACACTTAACAACAATATAATTGATTGTGGGGTGACACATTATAAACTCTTTATGGTATTTTTACTTAAAACAGTTATGTAATTGAATATGCAAATATAATAAAGAGATATACATAAAATTTACATAATAGTTATTTTTGTGTAGTGGAATTGAAGGAAATTTCAGTTTTAATTTGACTTCTTTCCTCATTTTTGTTTTTTTTTTTTCCATTTTTGATTTGGGTGACAGTTTACAGAGCAAATCAGTTTTCCATTCGATAATTCATATGCATTTTGTTTCATGCCATGAATTGCAGTGCCCAGGATGTGACAGCATTTACTCCACTTCCTCCTTGTGTTCCCGAGTTCCGTTTGTTCTTCTTTCCTATGCCTTCTTTGCCCATGACATTTGTTTATGGGCAAGTGCTGTCTTTTTGATATTGAACGGTTGATTGTTCTAAGGACTCTGTGCCTCCTTGTGTTATTGTTCACATTATAGACCAATCTGTTGTTTGAATAAGGAGCCCTGGTGTCACTGTGGGATAAACGCTGGACTGCAAACCATAAGATCAGCATTAACAAACCTACCAGCCACTCTTCAGGAGAAAGATAAGACTGTTCTCAGAAACCCTATATAGGGTCACTATGAATCAGGACTGACTCAGTAGCAGTAGGTCTATTGTTTGGCTGGAAAGTAGAACCATGTGGTGAGTTCAGTTCCACGCTTGAAGGGTGCCTAAGGGCCAAAATCTTGGAAGCTCAACCAGTGTCTGGATCTTTTTCACAATTTTGAATTTTGTTTTATATTTTTTCCACTCTATCCAGGACCTTCTAATGTGATCCCTTTCAGAATGATCATCAGCAGTAGCTGAACACCATCTAGTTCTTCTAGGGTCATGGAGACAGATGTGCACATGGTCTGTTAGTCCTTTAGACTCATTGTTTCCATGAGTCTTTGATTTTCTTCACTTTTCTTTCCTCCAGATTGGGAGATACCACAAGTTACACTTATATGGTCATTCATAAATGTTTACGATCCCTCGCACTCCTTACCAAAGTAGGATGGAAGACACTGTCTTTGTGAACTATGGTGTACCAGTAGATCTTGGTATCCCCTGACACTTTGGTTCTGAGCCACAGGTCCACTAACTAATTCACTGAAGGTGTTTTTTTCATAACTTTTATCCCTTTATCCTCTACTATGATGATGTTGTTGTCGTTAGGTACCACTAGGTCATTCTAACTCATTGCAGCTCTATATGCAACAAAACAAAACACCACCTGGTCCCGGGCAATCCTCCTAATTGTTGTTATGTTTGAGCCAATTGTGGCTGCCACTGTGTCAGTCCATCTTGTTGGGAGACTTCCTCTTTTTTGCTGACGTGCTCTACTATGTTGTTGTTGTTGTTATGTGCCATGGATTCAGTTCCTACTCATAGTGACCTTGTACATGGTTTCCGAGGCTGTAAATCTTTACAGGAGCAGAAAGCCTCATCTTTCTCCCATGGAACAGCTGGTAGTTTCGAACTGCTGACCTTGTGGTTCACAGCCCAGTTTGTAACCTCTCCACTACCAGAGCTCCTTTGCTCTACTATTGTTAAGTTGTTGTTAAGTGCCGTCGAGTCGGTTCCAACCCATAGCGACCCTGTACAGGGTTTCCGAGGGTGTAAATCTTTACGGGAGTAGAAAGCCTCATCTTTCTCCCACGGAGCGGCTGGTAGTTTCGAACCGCTGACCTTAAGGTTCGCAGCCCGATTCATAACCACTATGCTACCAGAGCTCCTTCTTGCTCTACTATAGTCATGTATATATTTTCAGCATGTGTAAATAAATATACACATAGAAATATCCGCTGCTAACTTGAAGTGCTGGTGTGACCTTTTGGGCTAATGCGTCAGACTTCAAAGTCATTTGAACCACAAGGTC